TATATAATATACTAAAAACCTATACCCTTACTCTAATCTAGTTTACATAATTATATATAAGATGTTATATAACATAGGTGTTATGATTATAATATTTTTAAATATATATATTATTTAAAAAAATATAAGATAAATATTCTGTTATAATTCTAAACATTTTATGTAAAATGTTCAAAAGATAATTATAATAAAATTATGAGTAAAAAAAAAAAAAAAGTCCGAACTCATGTACATGATAGCTATTGTCATTATTTTTTGTTTAATAAGCAATTGTAAGATATTATTGCTCAATTTAATTCATATCATATTTCAGAATTGCTTATACTACTTTTAATTAGACCTTTGTTTAGTCAACGATTAAAATAAAGGAGTAAACATGCAAAAATAACTCGCCTTTTGTGAAGAAGCTCGATATTGTGGGAGATAAAATTTCATAAAAAGAAGTGTATCGATAATGTGCATTCTTATTATTAAATATTAATCGTAAAAAAAAACCGTTAAAATTAATTTCTCGATCATTGATCATCACCTTTTGTGAAACTTTTGAAGTTAATTCACGTGGCGTGAAATATAAAAACACCCAATTATTGGGGATTAAAAAAAAAAATAAAAAAAATGATGGCGCAATTTCATGGATTGGTAAGATTGGTAACGTTAGCCTTATGTTCACAAATTGAATTTAAAAAAAAAAAAAAAAGATTCGAAAAGAACTATAATTAGTATACAAAATATAAATATGAATACGTTTATAGAACTTTTCCCATCCACAACAGAATTAGACAAATGATCAGAGCTTAAATAATCGATAACCTGTTTGGAAAAAGATAATCAAGGGTTGAGAATCGCTACGTGAGAATCTAAACGTAAATTATCGGAAGCGAGCAAGAATACATACATAGCGATAGGTGATACCACATGTTTTTTTTTCTTCTGAGTATACTTCAATCAAGTCAAATTACGTTACATTAAATAATAATAATTAATAATTTAGATAATTTAGAGAAAAAAAAAAGAGAAGAAAAAGAAAATAGATCAAACGATTTTTCATATTATGAGACGAGTGAGACAAGTCCGAAGTTTTATCCGAGGTTTTATGAAATGTTGAATATTTTTTTGCTTTCTAAACGAAACTATTCGTAATTATGGTAAATTACGTACCAAAGAGACGAATCCAGTAAATTGCTAATGCAATATTTACGTGTAACCTTATTTTTTTATTTATTGTTACCGTTGCGCCGTGTCATAATGATAAAATTGATTGAAAAGATAAAGCCATATCTAATCTTATCTTAGTAATGCTGTAATGATTCAAGTGACACGTTTCGAAATATGAATAATCAAAGGCTTGATACAAATGATACAACTGAGCAGTTGTAATAATAACAAAATAACGCCTAACCACTTCCCCACGATTTTTTTTCCTTATCCGGGTTTTGTAGATCTACCAAATAAATACATCCTCAATCTTGTTTCCGATGCTTTTATTTTAATATTGTTTTTCCCCTAGTTCGGCGTTATTTCTGATTTTGCTACATATTTCTGTATTTTAAAGAAAAATTCCGCAGCATTTAATTATCCGATGTAAATACAAAATATTGTGTCATTCTGTATTTTTCTTTTTTTTTAAAAAAAAAAAAATTCTAAATTCTAACAAAAAAAACGTAAAAAAAAAAAAAAAGGAATCTCCCGTGGACCCGCACCAGATCTTGTGCGCCTCAAAGATATTATCTTACATTTCATTTAAGATAACCAAATCAAATACTGAAATATGTTGGCAAATATAAAATAAAAATAAAATCTGATAATGATTTATGTATATGATCCGCCTTAACAATTATAACATGCATGTTCCCATTCACTAAAGCTTTTTTCGGTGTAGTACTAGATCTAGATTTTTGTCTATATTACCACTCTTATTCGACCTCTTTTCTCTTTTCAGTGATTTCTCTCTTTCTCTTACCTTAGATTTTTTGTGTTTTATGTCCTCAATATTTCATGATATAGAGGTACAAAAATAACGCAAATTCCAACAAGGCCAAGAAAAAAAAAAAAACCTTATATACATTACCATTCTTACGAATTCATAATTCGCTATACCAAAAAAAAAAAAAAAAATTCTTCATAAAACTCATAATTTAAACAAACTTCTTTTTATAAAAAAAAATTTTTTTTTTTTTCTGGCCATTTCATTTATTCAAAAATTATGCACTCCACTCCTTTTGCAACAGATTTTAATAAAAGACAATCTTTACATGATTCAGGTAAAGTCACATTATTTTTTTACTAAATATTTTACTATTAGAATTTGGTTTATGAAATTAGAAATTAGTTACTACGTAGAATCTGAGAGCTTTTGCTCCATTGTTACTCATTCCTTTGTATCACGCTAGGCCTATTTTCAGTTTTTGTTTCATTCAATCCTGCAATCTGAATAGTTGGTCTGTGCATGATTTAACATACCTAAATATATGTAATAATATAATTAATTATAGGTAATCTAACTCCTATCGAACAATACCCTTTATCAATACCAATCGTACCAAATCAATATACCATGGAAGATCAAATTATTGATAATACTTCTCATGATACTACCATATATGAGGGAAAAGAAGATTATTATTATGATGATGATTACGATACTAGCGACGCAAGTTATCGTGATTTTAATAAATTTATATCCGAATTTTATCAAGTTGAAGCCCAAGGTTTTGATCTATCACCTAGATCAAGAAAAATATTTTTTAATAATGGGTTGAACACTTTATATGCGGTAATTTTATTTATTTATTTATTTTTATTTTATTTTATGATAACTTATATGAAATATCAGAACAAACTGTATAACGTTAAATAAAAATTTGGGTAACGTTAAAATAGGAATTATAATAATAATTTTTTTTTTATATATATTTATATATATAAATAGATACAAAATTGTGATAATAATACAGACCCTATCCCTGAAAAAATTGGTTCCATTATTGAATCATGGTTTTCAGAAAAGTTGACATATAATGGAGAAATTGGAGAATCTATTCCTATTTTACAAGAATCTCCTCGAATATTAGCCGAGGGTATAATGATTAAATTAAGAAAATGTAAGTGTTTACCGCGATTTTATAATAATTAATTAATCATTTTTATTATTCCATTTTAATTATGATAATTTAAATAGTATTATTATTCTATTTAATTATGATAATTAATAAATAAATAATAATAATCATAATAATAATAATAATAATTTCATTTTAATTATAATAATTCATATTATTAAAAAGGAACAAAATTTTCATTTATAATAAATATAGCTATATGTGCTTTTCACGGCCTATCAAAGGTGTTAATAAGTATTCGGGCTGGACACGCTTATTTACTTCACATGATAGGTGATGAAATCATAATGGAACCTCATTACAAAAATTTCTACGAACAGGTAAGAAGTAATATTTAGTTTTACTAATTAAAGTGTAGATTAAATTTCATCAAAACTAAATTAACTTGGATCTTATTATAATTTAAAAGTTTCCATTATTCGTAGATGTTACTATCAAAGTACAAAAAGAAAGAGTTTGTTCCCATAATAATTCGTGTCAGGTTCTTGTAACAGTTGAACATGCGACATATAAAGAAGAAAATTGTGATGTTCCACGTTGTTATGGTAACGAATCAGATAATCAACGACAAAATTTTCGATCGTTTAATACCCGGATGATCACCACTTCTTCTGCAGACGGTCAAATGTTTTGCTTGTTAGAAAAGGTGTTATAAAGTTGTATTAAGAAGAATGATTACTTTGATGGAAATGATAAGTTGCATTAAGAAGAATGGTTACTTTGATGGAAATAATAACGTGACGAGCGACGATGAATAGTGACAAAAAAAAAAAAAAAAAAAAAAAAAAAAAAAAAAAATAAAAAAAAAAAAAAATAATTCTAAAAAAAAAAAATTATAATTCGACTCTAAAAAAAAATCATGCGCGAAGAAAAAAAAAAATTTTTCAAATATAAAAGTGTGGTAAATAGATATGTTTTATTTATTGTTTTTTTTTTAACTTACATTTTTTTTTATTCTATGTCCTTTCTAAAATTAGTGAGATTTTTTATTTTTAAAATCGATGAAAAATTTTCATCGGTATATGCAGACACTCAACATCTTGTTAATTTTTAAGCTATAAGGTGGTGTTGGCAATTTTATATGATTTATTTTTACTTTATATACTTTTAAAAAGTTATGTATACTCGAATAAAACATAAAAGAGTTTTGACATTATTTAAAATATTATTATTTTAATTTAAATATTATTATTATTTAAATATTATAATTATTATTATTTAAAATATAGATTATTTACTGTATTTTCTTTTTAAAAGTCAATTTACGCTAAAAAAAAAAAAAAAAAAAAAAAAAAATCTATTATTTTATTATCGATTTACAGTAACCGAGTTTAGATAAAGTTATTGATCATGCTGATCATCGCGTTAGCGCGTGTTCCAAAGAATTATATTACAGTTAGACCTCTCTAAATGCAATGTGACGGGACCATATGTAAAAAAAATGAGTGAAACATGCATTTAGAGAGGTATTGCATTTAGGGAGGTAAAAATTTATAAGTATTATATTAGTTGGGTCCAAGAGAAGACATGCATTTAGAGAGATTTTTCATAGATATGCATTTAGAGAGGTTTTTCATAGACATGCATTTAGGAGGGTTGCATTTAGAGAGGTTTGACTGTAAATGCTTTATTTTTATTACCACCGTTTAAACTGACACACTAAAAATAGATCATTTTATTTAAGTTTCTATTTTATATATTTTATTTTATTTTATTTTATATATTTATATACAGTATATTATATTTTGTTTTACCGGTATATATTTACTATCAGCTACAATATATGTAATTTACAGTATTTTTATTTTATTATATATGCATAGGATGTATATTGACGTATTCGTAATATATATAATATAAAGAATATAAATAACTTCAAAATTTTTTTACGCGACATTATCAGGTATAGATAGTAATACCAACTTAGTATTACCAAGTTGATTAAATTAGTTAACTAAAAATTCAAATTATATAATTTAAATTTTTGCATTTAATCAATTATTTTAAATCAATTATAAAAAAAATATATATATATGCAATTAAATATAATAAATATAACACTTTCATCTTGACTTTAATGCAGTTAAAAAAAAGATTAGTTTAAAAATGTAATTAAAAAAATGCAAGATGCAAAAGTAGATCTAACATTTTTTTTTTTTTTTTCCATTGATTTCCAGAATGTGGAAATTTAGCGTGAGATAATTAAATGCGTACGTACTTAACGTATCGTACAATATCAAATATATCTGATATATTAACTACGTACAGTTTTACGTAGCATGAACACATGGTATTGCATTATTTTCACATCAAATATAAAAAAAAAACCTTTCTTCCTCAAGCTCATGCAAATAAATTAATTTTCACTAGTACACGACATCACCTGGCTTACCGTTTACGTTAATTTTCACAATGGGCATTAAAATAACTGCGGGAAAATATCAAATTTTATACCAACTGATGATTTAGTAATAATCTACGCGTTTTTTGTTATTGTAACTAACACAACATCCTCTCACATGAAAAAAGGATCATTTGTTTGACAGCTACGAAACACGAAAAGGATCGACGTTGATTTAGTAATCAATTAAAAATCTGGAGAAAAGACAATCTTGATAAAAAAAAAAAAAACAAAACAAGTTAATATTAAAAAGTGATAAGTGATTTTCTATTGTTACCAAAGTGATGCAATGGTTAACCTGAGTCACAAACATAACTTCAAAAAAAAAAAAAAAAACTTGATCTATACCAGATTTGTACATTACAATTTCATTCGAGAATTCTAGAAATTCATTTCATTTGTCTTCATACAATTATGAAATTTTTCGTGAACCTTTTTTTTTTTTTTTTTTTTTTGACATGTGTTTGTTAATATTTTCTTTCATGTATAACGATAGGAAAATGATATTCTCACGAGTTAAATTGCCACGCTATCAAGAAACTCGGGTGATTCATACATAATGAAATTTAGCTAATCATAATGGATAACAAAAAATAATCATGCACATTATTCGCTATCTTTTTAATGATAATGCGCAAATAATACTAATAATTATTACGTATTATTTTCTTATCAAACAAAGACATTGTTGAATAGGATCACAGAGACTTCTATAATAGGATTATCTTTTCAATGATTATGAAAACTCAAAATCCCTAACTTACTAAGCTTTCGCATGTGATCTTTGCCGTTACGGTAAATCCAAAGTAGGAAAAATATGTCAGATACTGTAAGATGCAAGTGGATGCATTTATTTATCGCAATCAAACTTTTTTTAAAAAAAAATTATTTGGATTAATTCTTTGTTCATCATATATATCGAAGATATGGTCACAAACAATTCACAAATCTAACTAAATTAATCTTGCAAAAAAGTATGTTGATTACGAGCCCTGCATCTTTAGAGTTCCATTATTTTTTTCTTTTTGACAGATTTTTCGTTGTGTAACTTACTTTTTTATTGTATTATCTGTATTATATAATAAATCTTTTAATAACTAAATTGAAGTTTATCTTAGCTAATGATTATAGCC